TGGTATGATAACCTCTGCTAACATTTTGCTGTATACTTCTCCAGAGTCTTAGTCTCAGTCTCTGTAATTGTTTCTTGGTTTTAACACAAAGTGCATCATAGTTGACATCATTCTCTGAATGGCTTTTTGAAAGTAACAGTATATGGTAACATGATCTAGATAGCTAAATATTCTATTGTATTGTAATTTTAAGACATGGAATGCCTATGTATGAATTTGCCAAAATGACTTATTTAATACTATGTGGTTAAACATTTGGATCAATACAATCTATTATGAGTTACTTTAAAAAACACAAATGAAAATCCTTGTAAAGAAGTGTTGGTAAATCTTTCCATGCTTTAGTATAAGTTGTCTTGGTATAAATTCCAAAAGTAGGATAGTTTAGTTAAAGGGCATGAACATTTGCAAGATTATGGAATATTTTGCCAGCTTACTCAAAAAAGGTTTTACCAGTTTACATTCTCACCAATAGGCTATGTTCCAGTTTTCGTCTACCTACATCAAAACTAATTTTTAGTTTTCTTGTAAATTTGAAATTTGAACACTTTTGAGGATTTTTGGCCATTTGAATGCTTTCTTTGATAAATTGTTCACATCTTTTTTTTTTCCTCTTTGATTTGTCAAAGTCCCTTAAATATATATATATTTTAAAAAAGTATTGCCTAGTTGTTTATAATATATGCTGTAAATATTTTTCCCTATTGTGGTTTGCTTTTCAGATTTGTTTATGGTGTCTTTTTGGTCAACTAAATTATTTCATTTTTATATGTCAAGACAATTCATTTTCTGTTTCCTGTCTTCAGTATTCATGTTTAAATAATCCTTCTCTCTTCTCATATTATAAGTATTTAGTTATCTTTTCTTTCAGTAACTTTATGATTTCATTTAGTGGTAGTTACATCTGGAAATCCCAGTTTTCTTGGAAGAGATGATTTCATTTTATCCTCCATTTAAATTCACTTAGATATAATTGCCTTGCCTATTTTTGACAACCGGGCTATGGAAAATTGGGGATTATTGATGTTCGATGAGTCATTACTGTTGCTGCAACCGAATGATCAACTGACAGAAAAGAAGACCGTTATCTCATACATTGTCTCCCATGAGATTGGACATCAGGCATGTGGTAAAATGTTCTTTCTTATTTCACATAAAGATATTCTTCAACTGCTCTACTGAGAAACCCAAACAAAATGAAACAAAACAAAAAAATCCTGCTGTATACCAGAATTTTACATATCTATATGAGCTCTGGTAGCATAGTGGCTAAAGCACTTGCCTGCTAACCAGACGGCTGGCG